GAGCCAAACCTCCGGCAGTTCACTTGCTGCCGTTCTCCCCTATTCTCATAGGGGCCGAACAGTAGTGAGTGAATAGCCGAATGCCGCCGAGCGGCATTCGCCTCGGCTATTCTGCTCGCTACCTTGGATAAAATAACAATAATGTAAACAAGAGAGAAAAATCATATTTAAAAAATTGTACAAAAATAAACATAAAAAACATGCTAATAAAATAATACACAAAGATGTAAAGAAAACAAAAGAAAAACAGCGTGCAGTTCCACCCTCCCAAACCATACGAGACCCTTTAGGTCTGGTAGGAAAGTTAGGAGGGACCCCAAGTTAAAAAATAAACCGTGGGGTTCCCCCCAAAGTCATACCAGGTCCTTTAGGTCTGGTAGGAATTTTAGGGAGGAGCCCCACCCCCAAAAAGGTGGGAAAAAACATGGGGTCCCCCTTAAAATTCCCAACCAGACCCTTGATCCGAGCACATGCCTGGCAAGGCAGAAAAGGGTGGTGGGAAGCAAGCGCCCATACCCCTCCTGCCACTCTTCCTGCACCATACCAGGCCACATGTCCTCAGGCACTGGGTGGGTGCTTTTCAAGGTTCCCCCACACAGAAGGGCTCCGGCGGCCAAAATGAGATGAAGGGATCAGCCAAAGCTACGGCTAGATCCTTCAGCTCCTTTGTGAATAACCCTCTAAAACCTTGGTTCTCAACTGGTGGGTCGTTACCCAAAAGTGGGTCGCGACCCCATGTTCAGTGGGTCGCTGCATGCCTTCCACTTTTCTAGGTGAAAGGCTCCTCTGCCTCCCCCTAACGCAGCACTTTCAGTTCTCGCGCCTGGCAGCCATTCAGAATATGCTGACCGGTGCCGAGTGTTAGCTTGAGGTGGGATAGGATGGGGGTATGGCCACGAGCTAGCTCCATCCAAACGCGCATTGCTTGCAGCTCCCTCATGTGTCCTGTAGAGGTGCAAGGACCAGAGTAATGCACTGTACCACGCAATCACACCTAGTACGTGTTCTGGTGCGGGAGGCATGTTGCGTTGCCATTCATTTGAATGGTACCCCAAACACACCTCCCACCCACAGGTCGATCGCCTGCAGTGGGACTTGGGTCGCGACTTAATGGCCAAGGACAAATGTGGGTCCTGAGGATACACGGGTTGAGAACCACTGCTCTAAAAGATGTAATTTTTCAGTGCAGTTTGTTTTTATTCTACTCACCAAAGGTTCTTTCATTTGTGTTCTGCTTTGTTTGACATTTACATTTGTCTTTGCATCTAGACAAGAGCCTCCAAGGACAAACAGCCAGCCTGGGCACCAGGCGATTCATCGGAAGATTGTACATAAATTTGTAGGGGTATTCCTGGAAAACAAACAGCCTGTTCCCAATGCTTCCCCCTTTATCAATCCTTTTTTATTTCCACCTCTAGTCTACAGGAAATTGACCTAAATGCCGCTTACCCAATGATAAAAAAAAATATAGCAAGTGCTCTTATCACAAGAGGAGCAAAGCCAAAACATATATTTCCCTAGAACTGCAGCTCCGTCGTTACTCCCACCACATCTCAGATCCACATCTCTAAAAATTTTATGAAAAATATATTATTAGACGGCGCATTGATCTGTGTTGTGTTACCAGTTCATAACGAAGATGAAAAACATGTCGAACGCAGACAATTCCCACCAAGTGCAAACATGCTAACGGTCCAATTCTCTCCGCGCATACAACCTGCCTGTGAATACCTAAGACAGCTTATTAAGAGATGAACGGCGAGCGGCAAAATGAACAGCAATGGAAACATTAAAAAAAAACAATTATCACCATGTAAAACACCTCCGGTATACAGATGATGCTAAGTGAGGACGTTTCACTGTTTTCACCTTGAGCAGAAGAGAAACAAAGAAACAAGTTGTCAAAATGAAACATAAAGATCTATTCTGAAGTGTCCGTTAATGGAAACCTGCCAGTGGGGGTGCCCCTAGCCCTCGGGGAGGGGTGTTGCTGGATGATGCACAATCAATGGGGGGTCTTGCTGGTGGAGAGTGATGCCGCTAAGAACTGGATGGGGAGATGTGTAAGGGCTCTGCATCTCCCCTCCCAGCTCTTAGCAACTTGAGTAGCTTGGACTCTCTGGCTGGTGTCCCACCAAGCTACTGGCAATGAGTGACATTACTGGTTGCAAGTAGCTCGGCAGGACGCCGGCAAGAGCATCGCAGGTTGCTAAGAGCTGTGCGGAGAGATGTGTATGGCTGGCTCTTAGTAAACGGGGACGCTTTGGCCGGAAGGGGGGCTGCAGGCACACTACAAACATTGTGCAGCAGACCTCCCCCACATGACCCAAAGAGATGCCACCTGAGTCAACAGCCTCAGTGATGTCACCGGTCTCTAATGAATGGATAGGCTGCGTTCTCAGTGATGTCACCGGTCTCCAGTGAATGGATAGGCTGCGTTCTCAGTGATGTCACCGGTCTCCAGTGAATGGATAGGCTGCATTCTCAGTGATGTCACCGGACTCTAGTGAATGGATAGGCTACATTCTCAGTGATGTCACCGGTCTCTAGTGAATGGATAGGCTGCACTCTCAGTGATGTCACCAGTCTCTAGTGAATGGATAGGCTACATTCTCAGTGATGTCACCGGTCTCTAGTGAATGGATAGGCTGCATTCTCAGTGATGTCACCGGTCTCTAGTGAATGGATAGGCTGCATTCTCAGTGATGTCACCGGTCTCTAGTGAATGGATAGGCTGCATTGTCAGTTATGTGGCTATTTTAGAGAATTGATGACACGCATCCAGTGCAGAACAAATATGAAACCTTTAATACATAGCTAATACTGTTATTTTCTTTGCTGGCAGCAAACAATCCCCTGATCTTGGCGCTGACAGTGATTACAGTATTGTTTCATGAAATTGTAACCATTGTGCGGAAAACCAGAGCCGGCTGTGAAATCTTTTCATGAGATGTCCGTGTCACATCAGCAATTGCAGCTCAGCACAACCAGCAATTACTGACCAACGACCAAACAGGAGCAGGGATAAAAAATGCCATTTCCCTGCCGGTGACATGGATCAGCTATTTGTAAACTTTCATTACTGCCGGAGCACAAACTCATTCAGATGCTTATTAAAAAAAAAAAAAAGCATTTAATCCCGTAGCTTCCGGATATCCCACTGGTGTCCATTTTTACAGGTACTGGATTATAGGTGCATATAAATATTTATTAGTGCTAGGCTAGAAAAGCGATCACATAGACATTTTTTAACATCATCAGTGACACCGCAGTTTTGAAACACATCATATTGTTTATTAAATCCCAAGACAACCAGCAGCTTAGGGAAAAAAATAGCATTGCGTGGCCCTGGCCATTGTAAACATTGCTTTGTTTACATCCAGCTGTGAGCAGCGTTTGGTGTGTAAGAGTGTTCTTCAGTACCGAATCATCCTTTACGGCTAGCCGAAGGATCAGCCGTAGCTATTCACTATAGCCTGTACAGCTCCCAAGCTGGCCGAGCAGGTCAGCCGAGCTGAAGGCATATGCTTCGGCTCGACTGAGGCGAAGTGAAACCCGAAGCGGGGTGAGCGGCTAGCCATTGGCCGGCTGAAAGCCTTGCAACCGACAGCTGGGCGGAGCTTGATCCCACGGCTGGCTCCGTTCAGTTGCAGTGACAGATCAGCGCCCCCAGGTTACCAGAGGACGCTGAACTTTTATTAAACAATGACAACTTGGCGGAGCCGGCCGTGACGTCACGGCCTGGCTCCGCACAGTTGTTATTCATTGGCCGCGACCTGCTAGAAGACTCTAGCACAGGGGTGCCCATTAGGTAGATGGTGATCTAGTAGTAGCTCTCAAAGCTGATGCATGTAGATCAGGAAGGGGGGGAATGGCGGCCCCTTTATTCCATTTTGGTATATTTATTTAGCTGTGCACACATGATTACCTATCAGCCTGAGTCTGCTGAGCCGAGCTCCCTGACACCTTTCTGGTGGATTCTGGTGGTTGAAGTGCCATGTATTACATCAAAGAATATTAGTTTACACAGCAAAATACAGCAAGGTGAGCCAGGGGAGAGAGCGGGGAGAGACAGACAGGGGAGAGAGCGAAGAGAGACAGCCAGGAGAGAAAATGAGGAATGACAGCCAGGAGAGAGAGGATAACAGCCAGGAGAGACAGCCAGGAGAGAGAGGAGAGACAGCCAGGAGGATAAGCAAGGAGGGACAGCCAGGAGAGCGAGGAGAGACAGCCAGGAGAGCAAGGAGAGACAGCCAGGAGAGAGAGCGAAGGAGGTTTTTTTTTCATTGGTAGATCTCATTTAGCTCGTCATTTGAAAAGTAGATCTTAACACAAAAAATTGTGGGCACCCCTGCTCTAGCAGGTCCTGGCCAACAGGAAACAGTTGGGTGGAGCTAGCTGTCACTGCTGGTTCTGCCCAATTGTTTCTTTCATTTTTTTTTTTTTTCTCAATAATCTTTAATTTTTTTATTTTTATTTTAAAATCTTTATTTATTTTTTACAATTTATCATTAATTTACATTTGTAAACTTTTTTTCTACTTTTTTCCCTGCTCTGCAGCATTTGGCTATTCACTCGCTTCCGTTCGGCCTATTCTCATAGGGGCCGAACGGCAGTGAGTGAATAGCCAAATAGCCAGTAGCCTGCTGGAGGTTTGGCTCAGCCGATCCAGATGTTGGATCGGCTAAATCGAACTGCTTCTGCACTTCAGCTCAGCCGAACATGCTGAGCATGTTGGCTGAACCGAAGCCATCTGAAGCAAGCCGATGTATGGCTGTAATCAGCTGTACAAGCCTGAAGTGAATAGCCGAACGGCGTTCAGCTCACTTCCCTTCACGTGGGTTATTCACTTGGCTGCCTTTGTGAATAGCCCCAGAGAGACAGGGGTTAAAACAGCATTGAAACCTGCCAAAGCTGCAACTCCCTTCCAGCATTGAAGGCTGCCATTGGCTGACCCCGAGAAGGAGCGTAGTGTCCTCCTACTCTGATTGGTCTCTTACCTGAATGAAGACGTACTCGTCCTGCACCACTAATGAATTGGTGTCAATATAGCGAGAGAACGGTCCGCTCCTGGTGGTCTCCGCGCACTCTTGTATTCTACAAGTTATGTAATGAGCATCTGAAAAAAAAAAAAAAGACAGAAAACGATCATGCAAAGTGCTCATATACAACAACATTTCGGAGATGCAGTCCACCCAGTACAGAGTGCAGTGAAGTGTAACCCGGAAGCCATAATCAGTCCTTATCTCTATATAAGGGGTAGGGTCTTCACCTCTTCAAAAGAGGTCATTAACCTGAGCAGGTCTATTCACAAAGAGTACAACCTTTGCAAAAGGCCGGAGAAGTGAACAATCTAGGACAACATCGCTGATTTGGAAAAATTCTCCAATTCAGCTCACTTTCCAGTTCAGCTATGTTGTCCTAGATTGTTCACTTCTCCGGCCTTCTCCAAACTCGTCACCCTTTGTGAATAGACCTGTCGGTTTTGCTTTGCAAACGGACTGCACTGGTGTGAACAGAGGCCAGAAATAGCATAGGGATGCATTAGGATGTATTTTGGGTCCAGAAACAATCTGGTCTGGTCTGGAGATGATCTGGATGTGGTGTGAATGGGCCCTCAATGGATCTGGATTATCAGTCGGGATCAGAGCTGTTACTGACATTAATATACAGTTTGTAGGTAGGGAGTGTCTATTTCTTGTAATTATGTCACCAGGTCCGGAATTAAGCTGAATTCTCCACAGACAGCAAAAAAAAAAAAAAACTGGATGGAAAGATACGTTTAAAACTGCTACTTTGTATTACTTTACGGGACCTTGTTTTTTGTTTCAATTTCCTCATGATATTATAAAAAAATCATTAAAAAGAGATTATTCCAAAAAAAATTATAATTTGGGGCTTGAAGTTGGCATCATGAATAAAATGGTGACACCCTCTTCAGCCTGCATATACCTTCTGCCCCAGGAACCCAACGTTTCTCTAACATGCAAATCTTAAGGGGTTATTCACAAAGCTAGCCGAAGCTACGGCTGATCCTTCGGCTAGCTATGGTCGTCTGAGCTCTTTGGTTCAGTAGAACCGGCTGTACGAGCTATAGTGAATAGACCGTACAGCTCCCAAAGTTAGCCGAACGGCTCAGTCAAGCCAAAGGCATATGCTTCGGCTCGGCTGAGCTGAGGTGAATGCCGAAGATGGCCGAACAGCCGGCTCCGGCCACTTGCAGAGACAGATCAGCCTCCCCTGGTTACCAGGTCTCCAGGGGAGGCTGATCTGTCATTACACTGAGAACTCTGCGAAGCCGGCTTTGATCCCCCCGACGGCTCCGACAAGCTCTCATTGTAATGACAGCTGGTCCCGGCCAATAGAAAACAGTAGGGCGGAGCTAGCTGTCACTGCTAGCTCCGCCCAATCGCTTTCTATTTTTTTTTACTACTTTTTTTAATTGTTTTTCTATTTAGCTCGGCACGGCAGAGGTACCAAGCAGAATAGCCGAGCCGAATGCCGCTCAGCTGCATTCGGCTATTCACTCACTGCTGTCCGGCCCCTATGAGAATAGGCCGAACAGCAGCGAGTAGCCTGCCGGAGGTTCGGCTCAGCCGATCCAGATGTTGGTTCAGCTGAGTCGAACTCCTTCTGCACTTCGGATCGGCTGAACATCCTGAGAATGTTCAGCTGACCCGAAGCCACCCAAAGCAAGCCGATGTATGGCTGATTTCAACCAATGTACGGCTGAAATCAGCCGTGCAAGCCTGAAGTGAATAGCCGAACAGCGCTCGCCTCACTTCACTTCGGGTCGGTTATTCACTCGGCTGCCTATGGCAGCTTTGTGAATGACCCCCCTTAGTTTCCACAAGGAATCTGTGAAGAGAAGCCATTTGGTAAACCTGCATAGGAAGTAGCCCTTGGACGACTGGTGAGGCCTCGGACATCTCTGACTGAGTGAATGTAAATGTATATTGAACTTTTCTTTCTTTTTTCTTATTAGAGAAGCTGCTTTCTCCCGTTATAATTAGGCGGATTCATCAGCAAAGTGATTGATTCAGGGAATTAATACAACGGCTATCGACAGAGTGAAAACAAAATTGTTTCCTTCTAAGAAGATAAATTAAACTGCGTTTCATGTTGCCTTCTTTTAGATCAACAATGATGAAACTGAAAATTAACATTTTTGCTTTTTTCAAACTAGCTCCTTGACCGATGACTTAAGGTGTCCACACACCTTACAATTATCGGACGATTTTCGTATGCGATCGACTTTTCGTCCGATAATCGTATGTGTGCATAGCAGTGCCTCACCGACATTACTGTACAATCGTACGACTTTTGACGGTCAAGCATGTTTGAAAACTTTGCTAGATCGTACGATTGTCGTAAGGTTGCTGGCGTTTCCGTCCGTCAAAAGTCGTACGATCTACACTGCGCATGCACCAACGAAAATACGGCAAATCAATTCACAGCATTCACCGCATTTCACCCAGGTGTTTTTCGTTAATTACGGCTAAATGAATCTTGCGATCATCGGGGCAGGATGGGGCTGCCGTACGAAAGTCGTACGACTATTCGATCATCGGACGAAAAGTTTCGGCCAATAATCGTAAGGTGTATGGCCACCTTTAGAGCGACCCTGTCCTGAAAACAAATGTTTAACTAAAACAGCTGTTACCTGTTGAAGGCAATAAATATTCACTCGCTGGGATTGGGACACTGTGAGTGAACGGGACAACCTTGAGTCGATGAGACAATATACTAGAGGTGCACCGAAATAGAAATCTAAAAACCGAAACGGAAAATATTGGGGGTCTAAACAGATCCCTGATATTTCCCTTTCATAATAGAAAAAAAGATTGAGGACACAAAGTCCTCAATCTCTTTTTCTACAACCCCTGTTATCAATGAACAGGAAACCTCTATACTGAGTGTTCCTGTTCATTGATAACTTGAGAATATAGTATGTTTACTATAACTACAACTATGAATGGACAGGAGGTGATGTAGATCACTTCCCATTCATTCATAATTGAGGATATAGTAACCATACTCTGTCCTCAATTATGTACAAACACTCAGCGATCACTGATCACCGACTCCTTGTATCAGCTCTCCTCTCTGACACACACTGTCACAGGAGGCTGAGCGAGCGGTGCGGGAGGAGAGCTCAGCCTCCAGTGACAGCACTGTCTCCGCCCCCACACCGCTCTGCCGCACTGTGATAGGCGGCCAAGTGGTGTGGGAGGAGAGACACCGGCCGCTCACAGCGCTCTCCACCCGCAGCGCTCGGCCGGCTGTCACTTTCTCTCCTGCCCACTGGGACACAGAGCAGCGCCCAGCGGGGAGGAGAGAAAGCGGGGATGCGCCGATGTATCAGCACAAAATGGCACTTTCGGCATTTAGCCAAAAGTGCCATTTTCGGCCGATATGTTTCGGTGGCCGGCATCCCTACAATATACCCTATTTGCTAAATAATTGTACGTTGTGTTACATGCTGAGGTTAAGCCTTCCTTTGTGTTTTTTACCTGCGAGTTGCCTGTAGAGAAAAAATAAAGACTTTTTGTTTATGGAAAAGCCCTGTGCGAGTGCTCTGTGAGCTCCCCAACTTCTCTCTCAGGTGTTCCCATCACCTCTATGGCCACAGGTATATAAAATCACGCACCTCGGCATGCAGACGCTTCTACAAACATTTGTGAAAGAATTGGTCGCTCTCAGGAGCTCAGTGACTACAAGCGTGGTGCCGTGATTGGTTGTCACCTGCACAATAAGTCCATCCGTGAATTTTTCTTGCTACTAAATATTCCGCGGTCACCTGTTACTGGGATTATAACAAAGTGGAAGCAACTGGGAACAACAGCAACTCAGCCAGGAAGTGGTAGGCCACGTAACATGACAGAGCGTGGTCAGCGCATGCTGAAGCACACAGTACGCAGAAGTCACCAACTGTCTGCAGAGTCAATAGCTACAGACCTCCAAACTCCATGTGGCCTTCAGATTGGCACAACAACAGTGCGTAGAGAGCTTCATGGAATGGGTTTCCATGGCCGAGCAGCTGCATCCAAGCCTTACATCACCAAGTGCAATGCAAAGCGTGGGATGCCGCGGTGTAAAGCACGCCGCCACTAGACTGGACTAGAGAAGTGGAGACGTGTTCTCTGGAGTGACCAATCACGCGTCTCTGTCTGGCAATCCGATGGACGTGTCTGGGTTTGGCGGTTGCCAGGAGAACGGTACTTGCCTGGCTGCATTGTGGCAAGAGTAAAGTTTGGTGGAGGGGGTATAAAGGTGTGGAGTTGTTTTTCAGGGGTTGGGCTTGGCCGCTTAGTTCCAGTGAAGGGAACTCTTAAGGCATCACCATAACAAGGCATTTTGGACAATTTAATGATCCTAACTTTGTGGGAGGAGTTTGGGGACGGCCCCTTCCTGCTCCAATATGACTGCGCACCAGTGCACAAAGCAAGGTCTATAAAGACATGGATGGGGAAGTTTGGGGTGGAGGAACTTGACTCTGACTCTTGAATTTGAGTCCTGACCTCAACCCGATAGAACACCTTTGGGATGAATTAGAGCGGAGACTGTGAGCCCGTCCTTCTCCTCCAACATCAGTACCTGACCTCACAAATGGTCCAACATTCCCATAGACACACTCCTAAACCTTGTTGACGCCTTCCCAGAAGATTTGAAGCTGTTATAGCGGCAAAGGGCGGAGCCAACCCAATACTGAACTGTACGGACTAAGACTGAGATGCCATTAAAGTTCATGTGCGTGTAAAGGCCGGCGTCCCAATACTTTTGGCAATATAGTGCATATATATATATATATATATACACACACACACATTAACATATCATCTATAAATGGAAGCTAACAAATGGCTGCTATGGAAAAACAAGCCTTTTTTTGCACCAGTGTTTATAAATGGGCCTCACAGTGTCTTATTTTGTGCTCCCGCACAATACGCTCTGCATCATTGACTTCCTACATTATGCTTAAATAGAATCCCGCAGTATCTGCCATGAAGCATCTTTATAAATTTAAAAGGAAATCATTGCTTTTTCATTGGCTGCGGGCAATGAAGCACTTTGCCGCTATTGTCCGTACGAGGCCAATTAATTGCGCTGTAGCCGCTC